TTTTGAAGTAAAACAAAAAATGTCAACGAGGGTATTTAATGTAAAATTTGATGCCAAAGAGGGACTTTTTAGTAAAACTTAGATTTTTGAAGGGTTATTTAATAGTAAAAATCATGGGGTCTACTTCCAACTGGGGTCGATGCACCCGTAATGCCCGTGTTTTTGGGTTTAACACTAATGATGATTTAATAGTCTAGGTCAATCATTGTAACCCATTTTAAAGTAATAAAGATGAATTACTTGAATATTATGTGAATTATGTTCTTTTTTGTGCTTATTACTTTTTTATAATAATATAATAAATAAATGATAAAAACAAGAGTAGAAAATAAAGTTTGAGATAAACTCGATATCGATGAAGGAAGTGGTAGTGGTCATGACAAGGATTCCGTACATATAAAGAACGCCGAAATCCGAGTTATAACAAACAAGTTATGGCCTTTCGAAGTTTCGCGACAGAACTGACACGACATTGCAATGCGTAAATGGTGAATTTAAGATAGAGGACTTTTTAGCTTTAGTGATCTAAAAGAAGTCGTAGTGTTTGTTAAACCAAGAGTGTGCATAAAAAGAACGCCAAAATTTGATTTCGTATGAGGAAGTTATGATTTTTTAAAGTTTCGGATCAGCTGTGCACAACTCGGAGTTCGAGTTGTAGATCGAATGGTTTTTACCCGACACAACCTAAACGAGAATCGAAGATCTCATTAATAGGAGTTCAACAATAAATATATGGTTGAAAAAGGAGTCCGTATGTAGAAGTTATGAATTCTACACGGTAGTTTAGAAGTGTAATCCTCTCATACCATTAAATTTAAAATCGATCGAGAATTAGCTGACGGAGTCTAAATAAAACTTGTAGAGCATGTTCCCACCTACGCGTGGATATAGAGATCGTCAAAACCAGAGCTCGTATGCAAAAGATATGAATAATTGAAGTCGTATTGGGATATCTCGAAGCTGGGTGCGAGGGGTAAGCCCAGCGTATTCTCGGACGCCAAGCATACCAAAGTACGCCTCGCGTACAAAGGTGGTACGCCCCGCGGTTTGATGCTTTATGCGGTTCCGAAGTGGTCCACGTCACCCCTGTAGTTTGATGACATGTCTGTACGAACTTTGTAGTACGCCCAACGTACTCGGAAATACGCCAAGCGTAATGCGAGCCTTCACAGCTATAAAAGGAGGCCGAGGGCTGCCTCAAAAAACACACCAAATCCATTCTATTTCTTTCTCCACTCTCTCTCTCTCTCTCTCTCTAACCTATCCCAGCACCCCCGCAAAGCCTAGGAAACCTTTCTAGCACTAGAAGAAAGCCTTGGAGATTCCGGAGTCTCCGAGAAAAAGAGTTTTTCGGTTTAGAAACTCTGCCCCCGCAAAGCCTGGTTTTCAAGAAAACCTCCCGGTTTCATCAAAGAAGATTGTTTTAAGAAGCGAAGTGCTGTCTGAATCACCCCTTTATCAAGTGAGTGTATAGTCACTTTCATCTTACATATAGATATGAAGTATTCTATGTGCTATGTGTATATGTATATGGTAGCTGTTTACTTGAGATGTTGTTGAATGAAAGATCTATGCTTATTTCTTTCAGATCTGAAACTTTTTTCTTTCAGATCTACACTTTAACTTTCAAATCTAAGACTTTTCTTTTAGATCTTAAACTTTTTCCTTCAGATATACACTTTCTCATCTCAAATCTAAACTATTTCTTCAGATCTAGACTATTTATGTATTTTATGCTTTGAAAGTTATGCTGGATGAAAGATGTAAAATTTGTTTTTCAGATCTAGACTGTATATGTATTTTACGCTTTGAAAGTTATGCTGGATGAAAGATGTAAACTTTTTTTTTAGATCTGGACTTTGTATGTATATATTATATCTACAAATATGTTGGGTAGAACATGGGTAGATGAAATAGATGATGTGTGATAAAATGATGAGATGCCTAAACGTTTATGATGTTTAAGATGATCCAATCATCCAGCGGAGTATAGATGACGACCACGAACTTTCCTAGGCAGTCCAGTGGAATGCTAGTAAGCTCGCAACCTGTAGGTGTTTTTGAATATGTACTCTATCCCCCATGGTTGCCTAATTTGACATATGTTGCTGAGGAATCCCTAAGCAATATTGTCACCTGGAAGAAAAAAATCCTTAGGCTAGGTCTCTTTTTATAGATGCTTTACAGACGTAAAGTGAGGATAACAGGAACGGGTAATCGGGTTAACGATTTAATGAAAATGATAATAAACTTATTTATTGTGGGTAGAAAAATCCTAAATGCTCACCAAGCTCCCCAGCCTGACCCACTCAGTTTCTTGTATTACAGGTAGTGGCAAAAACATTGTTGGATGATCTGACGAGAGATTATGAATTTATAGAAAAATAAGTTGAATATTGTAAGGCCTATGATGTTTTGAGGCCAATTTTTGTGCCATGATGTTATGTTTATGCTTTTGTTATATATCGATGATGACATCCCGCGTTTTGTAATGTAATGAAAACATATTTCTTTAAAACATGTTTTGATAAATTTTATCATATTACGTCTCTGGGAACAAATTCCGGAATACTTTTTTTGAAGATTACTCTGATTTTATTATAAAAGCATAAACGAAATCGGTATTTTCTGGCTGTCAAAAGGGGGATGTCACAGCACCCCACTTAATGAGGTTAGATCCGCTACTATATATATATATATATATATATATATATATATATATATATATATATATATATATATATATATTACAATCGAAGATCAATATACAAGATTAATGCCTCATGGATAATTCATATTTATTTTTCTTATTTTACTTTAATATTTTCTTCTTACAAATTTATATATATATATATATATATATATATATATATATATATATATATATATATATATATCAAATTGATTAATACCAACTATGTGGTGCAGTGCGGTTTTCGGTCCGATGTCGAGGCAGTCCCGAGAAGAGTATGTGTATGCTTGATGTATTTGTGATTCATGCATGTTATGTGTTATGTGTTTTGGGGCAAGCCTGATGTTGGGGGCAAGCCCGATGCATGTTAGTTATATGTTATATGTTATGTTATGTATATATGATATATGATATGTTTTCTATGTGCAGGGGTAAGCCCGATGCCGGGACAAACCCAATGCCGGGATGAGCCCGATGCTAGACATGGTCTAATGTCAGGGTGAGCCCAATGTTGGATAGGAGTCTGATGTCGGGTTCATCCCGACACAGCTGAGTAGTGTCCCATAGTTGTATTATATGTTGTATGATATATGTGTATGCTATGTGGTAGTTTGGGAAGCTTACTAAGCTTCGTGCTTACATTTTTCAGTTTGGTTTCAGGTACTTCAGCTAGCAAAGGGAAGGGCTCGGGGTGATTGCATGACACACGCCACAGTTTCCAGCCTGGGAGATTTACTCTTATATTGATACATTGATGGATTTTTATGATGTCTTGAGTTACATGACTTATGTTTTGATGTGAAGTTTGATATTCATGGTTTTTGGTAATGACTTAAAACGAAATTTTTGGGATGTTTCACCCCCCCCCCCTACACACACATCACCAGGCCTGCTGAATATAATACAAACAACATAACCATGTTGTAGTTCATGGCTTTAATCCTAATCCCCGAGACAAACTTTTAACTAAAGTTTCTTTATTCACTTATAAGTGAAACTTCAACCCAAAAAGAAGAAATAATTAGTAGAGTTTCATAAATGTAGAAATAGACATATATGAGTAATAAAATGAAAAATAAGAGCAAAAATAAAAAAAGAGCACTAGGAGAAGGTATATATAGAAATACAAACAAATAGAAAAATGTAGATGCAAGTAATAACTAAGAAGATAAGTATCGACAAAACAAGTTGAAAGTAAAAATAGTGAAAATTGGACGAAAATGCACAAACAATGTAAAAGAAGCTAGCACCTAGACTACCCATGTACTGCTCCACAACATTGATCTTATGCATCCACACTATCTAATCAAAGTTCATGTCCTTGTAAAGACAAAAAAACTCATTCAAATCTAACATCGCGTTATCTTCACACTTATTTATCATATTTTCTCTCTTCCTCGCTGGATCTACAACGATTGTCTCCACCATCTAGAGTGAAAAAACCGACGCATGTATCCTAAGTATATGTCTAAAACCACCACAGATTTTTTTTCCTTCAGTTTTAGGTGATTGAAGTCGTTCTTACTGTATTTTTAAATGTTGTTTCTGGTACCTTATACAGTAAATGTATGTTACACGATTACTACAACATCCTTATTTTTGTAACATACATATTCCACTTATACTCATTCTTAATAACATTTAGAACCATTTATGGTGTAATGACTTAAAAGGGTAACAAACTTTCAGATTTGTTCAAATTTAATCATTGAAATTTTTTCGCGCTTAATTTAGCCTTAAATTTTTTGAAATTGTTAACATTTTACCCTTATGATCCATTGTAACCGTTCATAATTATAAAATGTGATCAATTTTAAATAATTCGGGTGTAAATCAAACACGAAAAAAAAAGTTCAGTAACTAAATTTTATTGAAATCTTCTTTTTGCAAGATTATTAAAAGTTAATTTAAAAATCATTTTCATATCTCCAATTTACTTTTCAAAAAATCAACAAATTGTTTTTAAATCAAATCCCAAACACCCTTCTAAGTTAAGGACAATTAGTAATAATTGTCATTTAAACAAAATGCAATTCTAATATTACAACTTACAAGAATTGTTTAGTTATTTCTCAAAATCTCATCACATATATTTTTTAAATAACTATCAAATATCAAAATCATTGTTGGTAGAAACAAAAAGAGGCATTCCTTACGAATATGGAAACTGTTTAGAAGTTTAACTTTCACACAAGTAGAACATTCATGGAAATTTACATCAAGGAAGGCATTTAGTGTTCATAAATACACAACGATACTTGTTTGATCATCAATTAAACTTATTGCGAGTTTAGAGTGGAAATAGATTATGGCAGTTACAGATTGGATGGTTACACAGGCAATCGTCGAAAACAACACGGTTGCATTTAGGAATTTGGTTGCAGAGGATGAGCAAGTGCTTGACAAAAGAATCGGAAATGGAAACCCTACCCTGCTACACCTTGCTTCTAAAACCGGAAATGTTGAGATGGTGTCACTCATCCTTGACCTGAGGCCAGAAATGGTGACTGCAGAGAACAATAAATCAGAGTCGCCAATCCATGAAGCCTGCCGCATGGGCCACCACATGGTGGTAGAGCGGCTCATGGAGGAGAACCAGTGGGTGGCTGGCAAGACCAATTGCGAGAACCAGAGCGCCTTGTTCCTGGCTTGTAGTTATGGGCATCTTAACATTGTAAATTTCATTCTAGATCACTCCAGTTGGTTGTTGAACATCATCGATGATGCAAATTGTCTCCACGTTGCTGCTTCAAGAGGCCAAACAGGTAGCAATGCAAGCTCAATTCCTCATGCATAATTCCTGTTAATGTTCTTACTTTATATTAATTTTTACTACTTAAAAGTTACAATTAACTAACGCATACATTTGGATAGAGGTCAAGACATCGTTCCTCTTTTATCCGCAACATTACAATCAAAAAATATAAATTATTTTTACAATATTCAACTTATCGCTCATCTTCCGATTATATTCAATAGGTAAATAAACATTTTTTTTGGATAATGGGTACAAAATTGTAACTACGTTGCTATCATGGTAATAATATTATTAGTTAATTTATATGGTGGTGATGTAGATATTGTTAAAAAGTTGCTATCATGGTAATTTAAGTATATCAAGTTGATTGCTTTAATGGGTAGAAATTTAGGTTGCCATCATGAGTAAATATTTTAATGTATACTTCCCGTAAATGTAAAATAGACGAAATCTAGTACGACTTCCTTTTTTATGCAAATTTCCCTTTTTTTTATTAGGTTAACGTATGTGATGGTAATGTAGATATTGCTAAAAAGTTGCTAGAAAGATGTCCGTATCTTGCTAACCAGAAACACGAAAACGGATCCTTGGCATTGCATGGCGCATGCAGAAACGGACAATTTGAGATTACAAGAACACTTTTAACGATGGACCCCGACCAAGCTTTTCAATTTGATAAAAACGGTTACACACCATTGCACTTAGCTGCAATGAACGGGAACCTAGCCATCATTGAGGAGTTTTCATCCATAGCTCCCTCATCCTTGCAGCTTGTGTCAAAACAAGGAGAAAATGTGTTTCATCTTACCATAAGATCTAATAAGTTTGATGCCTTCAAATTTCTACATGGTATCCTTAAGGGCGCAAACCTGTTTTATCAACCTGATAAGTTTGGTAATACCATTCAACATCTTGCTCAGATTAGAGGTTTCGATCAGGTATGAATCCCTCCCACTCACTCATTCCATATGCCCTACTTAGTCTCATTGCTTTTTCATTCTAATAAACTCCCTAGTTGTATGGTTTGTGGGTCAAAAGTTTCTATTTGGTTTATGTTGTTAACCTCATTCATGTTCATTGCAGTTCACAGAGTACATCAACAGTGAAACAAATGAGCAAATTAATCGTCAATCTGAATTGCCTACAACAGCAATGAACATAGGAAACCCATCAGATATTCACGTTGAAGAAGCTCCCTTAAAAGAAGAAACACACTTAACCATATCACCCGATATGAATGGATATATAAGTTCTTCCACTCGAATTACAGTACAAGACGAGAAACTTAGCAATCCTTGCAAGAATATCCCAACAAGAGAGCATATTGAATTGCATACAGAGGCGCTACAAAATGCAAGAAACACAATAACGCTAGTTGCTATCTTGATAGCCACTGTTGCGTTCACAACGGGAATGAATCCTCCCGGTGGTGTCTACCAGGAAGGACCTTTACAGGGAAAGTCAGTTATGGGACAAAAACGAGCTTTCAAGGTCTTTGCGATAAGCAATCACATTGCCCTATTTCTATCACTTTCCATCGTTGTAGTTCTAGTTAGTATTATCCCATTTCGGAGAAAGCCATTGAATATGATATTAGCGGCAGCTCATAAGGTAACTTGGGTAGCATTATCATTCATGGCTGTGGCATATATTGCATCGATATGGGTGATAATGCCAGAGTCCAATCACAAAAGTCCTTTGAGACAATGGTTTATAGAAGCTCTACTGTCTATCTGTTTTGGGACTCTTGGATCTGTGTTCTTTGGCATAGGAGTTATGCAAATTAGACATCAATTCAAGAAATACAGGTGGAGGAAGCACAAGGCAGACCACATTAATATCACTTCCCTCTCAATAAATTCAGATGTGTATAGTGGCGTATCAGATGGATTTCATGCCCTCTGATCAGCGATAGATATTCATTGTAACTTGGAGCCACATCTTTTTATGTTAATGTTTATGCAATTGCTAAATGTTAGGAATTTAGATGCATTTATAGAAGCCTGGTTATTCGTTAAAACATGAGAATGCTACATGCTCTCAAGGAAATACCTAGGGGTGTCAATTTATGACACGACACGACAAAAATACACGACACAAAACGAAATTGGGACGAAATCAAAATTTGAATTCGTTTTCGTGTCGTGTTCGTGTCAAGTATTAAAAACACGATGTCGTGTCGTGTCGTGTTCGTGTTTAAAAATCCACACGAAATTGACACGATTGAGCATGTGTTTGTCGTGTTTTTCGTGTTTGTCGTTTTTATCGTGTTATATATGATTAAATATGAATTAAATAAAATAATAGTTATGTAATATTATCTTTGTCGTGTCGTGTCGTGTTGTCGTTTTTTAATTGGTTCGTTTTCGTGTTAGTGAAAAAAAACACGACATCGTGTCGTGTCGTGTTCGTGTTACAAAAAACTTTATCGTGTCGTGTCAGACAAAAACACGACACGACGGCCCGATTTGACAGGCCTAGAAATACCATCAATTCAACTAACCAAAAAAGCTTGAGCCAAAATTCAGGTGACTAATGTAACTCCCCAAAAAACATACCTGTAAATTAGCATAAAATTTTGTCCTTGTTTGCAATAATGACAATCCAATCCGAAGCATAGAAAAACATGATCCAAAAGCGGGTCAAACATAGGGATGGAAAAAAAAAACATCTTACCTATGGAAACCCAAAACCCACATCCGGTTTGACCGGGAAATCCTATGTTGACCGGGGGTGAAGACTAGCATAGGAAAACTCCAAATAAAAAATCAGTTATGTGGATACCTCTAGTCCGCAACCCAACACCCGGCCCCAATAGATATTATTCTATAAAAAGTAATATATATATATATATATATATATATATAATATATATATATATATATATATATATATATATATATATAGTAAATTTACAATATTATCTAAAATTTGGTCGAAATAATTTAACCCATTAATAATTACTTGGTTAAAATTATATTTTTCCTTCTTCTTTTATCTAATTTAAACTTGTATATAATTTTTTTTTCCTGATAATCAATTTTGCATCAAATGTCACTTTGATAATTTTTTCTTTGATTTTTAGGTATGTATTTAAATTTGGATAGAAAAATTGTTTATAGTTTTTTATACAATCTATGAATATTTTATATTTTATAAAATCTTTAAACTTGCACTGGTAAAATTTAAATTATAGTTTGTCCTTACATAAAAGTTTTATATTAAAATAGAAAATGAAATCTCGATTCCTTGTTTGGGGATCACCGGTCCCTGTTGGGGGCGGCAGGGGGATCCATTCATATTCCCCAATGGGGATGGGAATTAGAATAAGGATTTGAGGATGTGGATAAAAATTGAAGTCCTTCGATGTTCCCTAGCCCCGTTGTATCTCTAGTCAAAATCACCTGGCATGTTTTCAAGTACAAAAACGATAAAGAAAACAACTTCCTAAATTATTACATTTTTATATAACCACAAGAAAGTAACTAGTTGTCTGCAAGTCCAAGTCTATGTTACCAAATAGTCATGTACACAAAGACAAAGTATTATTTTCATTTTGCACCTACCAAATAGTCATGTACACAAAGACAAAGCATTTTTTTTTTCATTTTTCATCGGAACTTGAGATACGTGTTGTGACACCTATTTTCTTGTTAATATAAGGTATATAATGTGTATATGTGTGATAAAACTAACTTAATGTTATTAAGTAATGTATCTTGACCAAAATCGTATTTTTCTCATTTCTACTAAATTTCTAGAATTTATTAAGGGATAGTCCTTAATATAACCGCGTAAGTATAATTGTTACGAGTTAATTAGAATCTAAATTGGTACTTTAAATTGTGAAATTGTTAGTGAAGGGTATACTGGTCAACATAAAAATTGAGAGAACTATTTGATTAATGATGATTTATTTGAGTTGACAGATACATAATTTGAAACAATAATATAATAATATGATTTCAAGCTTATTAAGTACTAAATCATAACCAATTTCTTGAATTGGGGAAGAAATTGGTATGAACCATAAAAGTGTAAATTTATGATTTTAGTAAATTAAGATAATATCATGTTTAATATGGTGTTGTGGGAGATAAATTCATGGAGTATAACTAACTTTAACCTAAAAATCGTTTAAATTTGATTAATGTGATAAAAAGTTGAGCCAAAGTGAAGAGTATAGAAATTGTTAGTAGAAAAGAGAATGATATTACAAAATGAGATTGGTGTCTTAATTTAATAAGACACTTAAACCATCTAGATGTTAAGCTATTGAAATTGCTATATAATTGAGTGTTATGATTTTAATTGTTGTGATATAATAAGGCATATAAGAGAAACTATACAATGACTTGTAACACTTGAGACATGTATTATTTCATAGATTTTGGTCGGAGAGGAGCCAAGATTGGGGCAGGATTTTGTAACATCTATTATCCAGGTATTCGTTTTAAACCCTTGTCTTGTGCTTTATTTGCAAGTTAAGTCCCCGATGACAAATTCATAATTTCAGAGGCATTTGGAGCACGTCAGGCGTATACCTTCGTACGTAGGGCGTACTCGGATTCTCATTAGTACGTTGTGTGTACGCTGGTACGCAGGGCGTACACAGCCAAGGAACAAACCCTAAATTTTAGGGTTTTGACCCTATTTAAACACATTTATGACCACATGCACATTCTTATCTTCAGCCTCATTTCTCATTTCGAAACCCTAATGAATGTTAGTGCATTGTGGAGCTTGTAAAGCCATTTTTGGTGCCATTTGGAGCTTTTAGAGTAGAAGGCAGAGCATTGAGGTGGTGATGTTTCACTCAAGGCTTTGGATCTAGCATCTTGTTCCCCTTGTGCACCTTCTGGAGGTAAAAAGCTTCAACCTTGGTGTAGAAATCTTATGGATCTAGTTTTAGCTCAAAGTTGTTCCTTTTTTATCCCATACTTGGTCTTTATGAGTAGAAGGTACTCCAAGGCATTTGAGTTGTCCTTTCAGAGGTTTTGAAGGGTGTTAAGTCATAAAGTTGGTTTTTTGGTCACTAGTTTCTCTCCATGCAACTATTAGATGGTCTTAATGGGTTAAGAGACTAGGGTTTATCAAGTTAAGGTCTTATTAGCCATGCTAAAACATTTAGTTGGATACTTTATGGTTAAGAACATCATATGTTGCCCAAATCTAAAATTTAGACGTAAGTGCTGAAGGGATTAAGCATTTAAAAAGAGGGGTGGCGATCAGCCGCGAATGCTGGGCAAACCGAGGGGTATGTTGCACGTACGAGGTCAGCTCCCCAATCCTCGGTCAACGATGAAGTATGCCCTACGTAGTGACTGAGTCAACTCGGTTGAATTTGACCTGGATTTGCCTAGGGTTTGACCTAGGGGTATTTTAGGTGTTTGAATGGTAGTCTGAGTTTTGATTATTGTTATTCGTAAAGGTAACCATTTGCATGGGTTGCAAGGTAGTATGTTATTCTAGTTTTTCATCTGTCCGTGAGGTGAGTCATATTCCCACCTTAAGTAGGCCGGCCCTATATATTATATGAATTGTATGTTATCGTATTAGTTTGTATTATGTGATTGTATGATTTATGTATTGAGCTAGTTTGGGCTCAAAGTCATTATGGACTCAACGTTGATTCGAACCCGACACAACTACTTGCTGCTATTTTGGGTTGATACGGACCCAAGGGTTGATATTGACCTCGCATAACAACATGTTGTTATATTATATAAATGTTGCAAGTGGTATTTTAGGAAGCTCACTAACCATTATGCTTACAGTTTATGTTTATGGTTTTAGGTACTTCCAGTTTAAAGCGAAGGGCCCGACGTGATGGCACAAAATCCTCCCTTATGATTTCTCTACTTGATTTATTTGTACTTTGATGTTTTGGAATACTATGATGATTGATAATTTTTGGTACAATCAATGAATGAAATTAATAGTTTTTAAATGCAAAATTTTGGTACTGTTTTTGGGTCGTCACAAGTTGGTATCAAAGCCTTGGTTTGAGGGATTCGGGGATACTCTCAGGTGAGTTAGAATTCAAACTGAAGAAATGATAGTTTTTCTTAAGTAAAAATGATTTAAAACTTTTAAAAGCTATTTTATTTAAGAAGAAGAGGGTGTGATGTGTGCGATCAACCAATCTCAAGTAAGTGTTTCCCAAATTACCTATACTTATGTCTTATGAGTAGTATGCTTGATATGAGAGTTGTATGCTCGATTAGAGCTAAGGATACCTTTAGGAATCATATGATAGAATTTCCTGATTTGCGTGATTCCTTATAGACTAGTGGAACTTGATGCTATGTATTGCATGGAATTTATATCGGCTTAGTTAATTGCATTAGTATACCTTCGTACGCAAGGAGTACTCGGATTTGCATTAGTACGCTGCGCATATGCTGGTACGCAGGACGTACACATCCAACATACGTAACTTACCATCC